CTATTGACTCAGAATACTTCTCACTTCAAAGGGAATAAGAGATACATTATTTCTAAGTCAAATAAGAGTGATCAGCGTCTGAGAACATGAATTGGGGGTGTCCCAAATAACATATTCCAATATAGAGTTGATCTCATGAAGGTTTTGTACTTCTAAAACAAGTCGTTTATTCAAATGCATTGGCGGAAACAACATGCAGGCAGGCTACAATAACGTGGAGCCAATCTCTCCTGTGGGTTCAGTTACTGTCTGATGAGGCTCTTAGCTTTTGGGTTGATGAAAGCCAATAACCATCTAAGTTAATGCATTGCCTTGGGTTTGATCTGATAGCCACCAAAGCATTAGGTAAGACACAAGTGGGCAATGAATTGCTCTTGAAGTGAATAAAGAAAGCCCAATACAATTGAGCTCTAGGTCCTAACATCCAGACTCTCCACAAGTCATGAAGTTCTAATCAGTTAATCAGCCTAACAAAGCATTTGGAATCATTTTACAGAAAAACCAGACTCAAATTTAACTACCCTCTGGCGAGGAATCACTCTGGAGTATAGCTGTCAAAAGATAGCACTGTGCATATGCTGCCATCTTTCTTTTCTCCATCATGCTATCAATAAATACTCACCAAGCATCTACGCTCATCTGTACTCAGTCTCACAGTTTGGCCCTCAAGGGGCCTCAGTGCATTGTTCGGGGCCACAGGGAGCCTGCAGCACAGTGAGAAACATGGGTCTTGAGTGAGTGGATCTGTGCTTATAAACTGTAAAGCCTTTCTTGGAAGAAATGAACAAGGTCCCAAAGGTGGGTGACAGATTTAATCTGAGGCACTTTCCTAAAAGCAGTGACCTGTTGCGTGGTCTGAGTGGTGAACAGGAATAGCCCGGGTGCAGAGAAAGGGAACACCCTCCCAGAGAGACGACACATGCAGCTGGGGGCTATAGACTGGGGGCCTGTCTCGTGAGCGGACAGCGAGTCAGCAGGAGCGGGGCTGGGAGCCTGTCTCATGAGCGGACAGCGAGTCAGCAGGGACGGGCTGTGTGGGAGCCTCTAGGCTGTTACACAGCATCCTTGTTCTTTCTTGGTCTTCACCAGGGGAGGAGCGGCGGTGCTCACCTTCCGCTGTTGCCCTGGCTCACCACGTGCTGAATTCATGCAGATATACTTTGCAAATTGCTGAGTTGTCTTCGTATAATACCATCGAGATTTATGTTTCACATGGATGCTCTTTGAAGACATTTGTCTCAACAGTGACTCTGTTGCTAATTTGAAATGACAATAGTCACTTACATGATCTACACACATGCACACATGTTGCCCAAACCCACATGCATAAAAACATGCTCTGCCGTGGGTGTGCTCCTGTGATTTAGTCCACGGTCGAGAGAGCAGACCACATCCTGGCTGTATTCCCTGAATGTGAGTACTCAGTTGAGCACAAACTCACTGAGCGAAGGCTACAGCCAGAGGGGTTCGCATGAGCTGCAGCCGCTGTCATTCCCAGCTGTGGACCTCAGTCAGACACGTTTCTCACCTTTTCCGAGCGCCTGTCTCATCACCTATAAAAAGGGATTAATGGTACCTGATAGGGTTTTTGTAAAACTAAAACAGCAGCAACAACAGCAATGCACACGCACATGCATGCACGCAGGCGCGCGCGTGCGCGCGCACGCGCGTACACACACACACACACACACACACACACACACACACAGAGAGAGAGAGACAGAGAGTGGTGGGGGTTGGGGAAGACTTACAAAGACAATCACAAGACCCAAGGAGCAGAATTAGTTTTGATGGTCATATGTTGAGCCAGCATAGACCACCTCTGGGTCTTTTTCTCAGCCTGGGACTTTCAAGTTCTCTCAGCTTTCATCTGAGCTTTTCTTCAGCCTAGAACTTTCCTGGAGCTGATTTCCCCCCAGTCTTCATTTTTGCCTCTTCGAAGAGCAGACTGATGTGAAGGCCCTGGGCGCCCTCTGCTGGCGGAGGTGGTGCAGGACTGTGGTCATTGCCCAGCCAGCCAAGAATGGATTTATAACCCGGAAAAGATGTAGTGGCTGTCCTGTTGCTTCGTCCTTGCCTGTGCGCCTTCCTCTCAGCTTTACATGACAACGAACTCCCCCCTTCCTTCTTCTCCTCCTGCATGAGCCTCTTCGAGTTACTCTCTGCAAGTCCTTTTCTGGAAGCTCAGAGAGAAATAATTATGCAAGAAGAGACACCTCAGGCCGTGTTTCCTGCCACTTGGAGTTACCCAAATGCATCTTTCAACTGTCCATTAGTGTCAGATGTCCCTAAGATCCCAAGACTGACTTGTCCAGAAAGCATAGGCATTAGAGGAGGGGAATGAAGGGTACTAATTGGTGTGACTTCCTTCTTCTGCAGTTTTAAAAACGTACACAAAAGTTGACAGATACAGAGAAAACCTCCCACCCTAAGCTGGTAAAGGAAATCTCCCTCCAAGTTCTGGTTACCAAACGTGATCAGACTGTACATCCCTGGAGGACGCTTCATATCTGTTGCTTACCTAGAATAACATGATTGCGCCCACCTCAGGGTGAGGACAACTGAGGTCCCAAGTGAGAACAGAGCCTCTATAAGGTCAGGCTGTAAGATGCCACACCCCTTCTCTTAGCTGTGAGCTGCTTGGGCACTGAGACCCGTACGTGAAAACTTTAGTCTGAGTATCTGGGGCAGGACCTTCGACACTCACATTTACTGAGATGAGAATTATGGGCTCTGGGACCAGACTTCCTCACACTTACCAGCAGCATGGTCTCGGCTTCTAAAGGTTCTTTTACAAAAATGTTTTCATCTCTACACTGGGGATTTTGACAGCACCGACTTCATGCAGTTGGGTGAAGCACTTACCTGACCTACAGTAGGTGCTAAATAAATCATTTCCACTCTTCCACTATAGCAGGCGGGGAAGCTTCTATGACCCTCCTCACTTTATAGATGAGAAAATTGAGGCCTATGAGCTTTGTCCCTGATTACTCAGGTAGGATGTCATGTGGGGAGACCTGGAGCCCAGTGTTCAGGGCCATCGATGCCCCATCAAAGTTAATTTCTCCTACCTATGAAACAAGTACTTGGTGGTTACATGAGGAAGGGGTTCTTACAACCCAACCAGAAACCCTGATAATGAGCTCACTGGCTGTACTTCATGACCAATGTTAATCTTTCTCACCAGATTGGGAAGACCAGAAGAACAAAGCCAGTCTTTCTGTCCAAAGTACTCAACCCAGGGCTCTGTAACCAGGATCTGGTAGTTGCTGGCTGCAGCCTGAAGTACCCATCCATTTTACTGCACATCTGAGGACATGTAGCCCAGCAACCACCTCACTGGTCTTATGTGTAGTGTTTCCACTGCCTGGAAAGCTGTCTTCTCTCTTCCCAGTGCTGTTCCAGGCTCCCAGCTTTGTAGACTTCATGGCTCCACAGATTGACGTGGGGCAAATACAAAATACTATGCTACATAGCAAGAGTAGCTCAGAAACTCATCATAGTGCACATGCGGCCCCTGAACAGAAGCACAGACTCTGCTAGACCTGGCTTTAAATTCTGGCCTCATAAACGCATCTGTGATTTACACATAATACTAGCTCAATATTAAATATTCAGGTATATGTAAAGTACTCTGCTGGAGCTAACAACCTAAGGATGCACCGAATAGCGGCAATGAGAATGATGGGGAAGATGATGGTGATGCTGGAGACGTTGAAGGTGGTGATCACATCATCTTCTCTGGACCCAGCCCTAGGGGACATTTTCACTAAACCAATGGATTTGAAAGCATCTGGGGAAGGATGTGGGCATACGCAGTGAAGACAAGAAGGTAACCCAGCTTACCATTTCTCAGCTGCTTCTGAAGAGTCTGCAGTCCAGGCTTCAAAGGCCTTGCTTTGGCATCATTTATTTTTGTTTCTGTCTCTGATCTTCATTTCAAGGTTGCTCGTGCCAGGTGGCAAAAATGAAGGTATAAGCGTCCTCCTGCTTTTGTTATCTCCCTCCCTCTGATCCTCCCGTCCAGATTATACCTATCGTGGTTGGCTACCTTTGAGGGTGTCTAACCATGAAGTCATCTTACATGTCAGGTTAGATAGGGAAATCAATGCCCTTGGCACCCTGCGCGCCGACTGACTGCCACATCTCCTACTTGCACACTCTCCGTATAAACGAACTTCCCATCTCTCATGGCTGGCTGATTGTTCCATCTTTAGGTCAGACTGCTGTACAAAATAATGAGGCCTGTGTCCTTTCCCTGTGCTCTCTGCCACCACTGTCCTCTTAAACAATGTCTGTCCAGAATTCAGTGTTCTGGGATCACATGGGGGTTTGTCTTGTGATACGTTGCCTGCCTGCCTCTCCTCCACGAAGTTAGGGCAAAGAGCACAAGTCTGAGAGTACAGAGACCTGGGTTCATGTCCAGTCTACTGGTTGTTGCTAAGCAAGGCATTCCATTTCTCCAGGCCTCAGTTGTCCCCATTTGTCTGAGCCAAGGTATCTCTGGGGTCCCTTCTCCCTTAACACGCGTGCAGTCTTCCAAGCTGTCCTTTCTTCAGCTTAGCCCTGCTCCCTACTTCAAACACTTTGTGCTAAGCTCAGTTCCCCCACCTCCAGGTTTGCCCACGTCATCGCTTATGCAAAGGGATGGTTAGCAGCCAGATATATAGTTTGTACAGCCTCAGAGGATGTGTTAAACAATTGGCAGCTTGATCCCATTAAGTGTTTACAGCAGCCCTGAGATCTAAGCCTCATTTATAGAAAGAGAAAGCTGGTTGCAAGCAAACAGTTAAGTCGCTAGTCCGTGAGTGCTCCAGGCTCTGACGCTCGATCTGCTTGCACCCCGCACTCAGTGCTACTCTCTCCGAGCTGGGATTCAGGAGGCATCCCAGCAAAGCCACCCAGCCTGGTCCAGCCACAAGCTTTCTGCCTCCTGGCCCCACGATTACGGTGTGGTGTTCCTTTCCTCTGCGCTGTAATCTCTTTGCTCTGCCCCACAGGGAGAACAACTTCATCAAGGACTTTCCGCAGCTGGCAGATGGGCTGTTGGTGATCCCGCTGCCTGTGGAAGAGCAATGCCGGGGGGTCCTGTCTGAGCCCCTCCCAGACCTTCAGCTGCTGACTGGTAAGACACACCTGTCAGGCCTCGGCAGACGCACTGACCACAGCCATGTCAGTTGTGTGAGCTACAAGAGCATGTCAGAGTGCTCCAGTCCAGCCAGATTCCTCCTTCAAGAAGGGAGGGCAGAGAGCAGGGCTTTGCCTTGTCAGGCTCCTCGAATTGGGGGAGGCCTCAAAGAGACCCCAGCTTCTTGACCAGGACCTTGTTCATTAGAGACACTTCCCTGAGAACAAGAGCAATTTTTCAGTCTTTCCTAGTGAGGCTTTGCCTGTGTCCAAGCATCAAACTACTTTCAAGTGACAATTTTTCTAACATTTCAATGCTTCTGGTATTCTGTCTTCTTTGTTCATTTAAAAATCTTTCTAGAGTTAAATCAGTGGACTCTTGAATCAAGACTTTCTCTACTTGGATGCATTTGGGTTATGTGACTTATTATTTGTGTGTAGCCAGTGAGCTGTTTGTTGAGTGAGTTTTACTTATTCAAGTTTGAGAGTAAGACATCTAGGACCCAGTAAATACAATGCCATCCACGGCACCCACTAGGACTAGACCTGATGAATAGCGCTGCATTTTTTTTTTTGTCTTTTCAACCCACCATGTCATTCTCACCATCCCAAACATTCAGGCTCCCCTGAAGTGCTAGAACTTTCTGTCTCAGTCCAGGTTGTGTTTCTTCTCTTCTTTATCTTTTTCCATCATTTCTGCTACCCTTTTTGGGGGGTGGGATTAATTTTTTTTTAACATAAGTGCACCTGGACTCTATTTTGGTGATATAATAGTTGGGTGATGTCTGCTAACCAGATTGGCCACCCTCAAGTATGATTTAATCCTCTCACTTAGAGAAGGGTTGTCCCACAGAAATTATCCTGCAGTGTGAACTTGCAAGTTCTAAGTGACCAGGAGAAAAAAAACCTGACTACCATGAGCCTTTCCTGTAAAATGGCATAGATAGAGGAGACCCCCACATGGGTTGAAGGTGTCCTTGGGAGACAAGGCCATTTCTGTTTTTCAGCCCACACAAACCTGAAGAGTGTTACTATTCTGCTTCCAAGTGGTTATGGTGCCATATACTCCTCTAAGGTGGCATGGCTAGTATATAAATTATCATCAAGGATTAAACCTAATTAGTCTGGGCTCCAGAGTGAAAGCCTTATCCATTGTCTTATACTACCAGACTTGTCCCACTTTAAAGAAGATGCAGATCAAATGGACCCATAGATGAAATACCTCTGCAAAGTGTTTTAAAGGCTTCTGTGCCTTCCTGAGTTTCCCCTTCCAAAGGCCATAGAAATTCTAAGTGGCATGGAGTATGCTAGTTGAATTATCTCTGCTGATTGGGCATCAGGTATATAATATCCTTCTTGAGGAACATGTCTCTTTGAAGAACTCCAGTGAAGGAAGCTCACCATCCCCAAGAGCTCATATTTCTTTAGATGGTCTGTTAGGAGTGTTCTTTAAAGACCCCAACCCCTATTTGATTGTTGATTTCCTTGGACAGCTACCATCTTTGCAATGTGGACATAATCATTATTTTTTTTTCAAAATTACGGTAAGGATTTTTTTCTTTTGGTTTTACGAGACAGGGTTTCTCTGTATTGTTTTGGAGGCTATCGGTCCAGCCTGGCCTCGAACTCACAGAGATCCGCCTGCCTCTGCCTCCCGAGTGCTGGGATTAAAGGCGTGCGCCACCACCGCCCGGCTACGGTAAGGATTAAAGATCATGTGTATAAGATGTTTGGTTTTCTATGGTTCTCCAGTAGTTTTTCAGCTTTTTAAACTGTATTTATTGGCTCAGGGACATTTGAAAGATTCCTAATAAAGGAATTGCTACAATTCTAGGGATTTTCTTAATTACACGAGGCTAGAGTCGTAGCTTAGTAGTGAGAAGGCACTGGCTGCTCTTGCAGATGACCCAGTTTGCTTTCCAGCATCCTACATGGTGGTTCCCAACCATCTGTAACTCTGGTTTCAGGGTGTCCAACATCCTCTTGCAGCTCTCATAGACACTGCGCACATTTGGAGCACAGACACCCACACATGAGATAAAATAAATCTTTTAAAATAGAATTGCCGAGACAAATTAATCTATGATGGTGGGTAAAGTGAGAACCAGAGTAGTTTCATGATCAAGAATGAAGAGAGTAGCCGGGCTGTGGTGGTGCACGCCTTTAATCCCAGCACTCAGGAGGCAGAGGCAAGTGGATCTCTGCGAGTTTGAGACCAGCCTGGTCTACAAGAGCTAGTTCCAGGACAGCCTCCAAAGCCACAGAGAAACCCTGCCTTGAACCCCTTCCCCCCAATAAAACATGAAAAGAAAGCATTCATGTTAGGACATTATAAAGATCCAGTTGAATGCTGAGATCCAATCTGGACTCTGGAGGAGAAATACAAATAATACAGCCATGGTCTTGATGTCAAGAACCTAACATACCACAGAAGCTTATATTGCAGGTGTGAATCCAAACTAAGCCAGGGACAACAGTAAGTGAAGGATGGGAAAACAGCCACTTCAGGGAGGCCAAGGGAAAGAATGAGCAGAGCAGTGAAGATGATGTTATGAACTGCTTGATAAGTAGAAGGTACCTCCCCGCTTTGAATACCATACCATAGAAGGACGGGGTTTTTTTAACAACTCACACCAGGATGTGCAGCTCTCTTTTGTCAGAGGTGGCGTTCAATTGTTGAATAACCCTATCCCTGCAACCAATACCTGTGAACATGGCTAGACAGTAGTAGATGGGACAGGGGACAAACTCTATCTAGACTTTGGTGTCCGGGACTTCTGGAGTAGACTAATTTCTCAGTCCTGGGTCAGGAGCACCTTCTTTCTCCTTCCTCCATCCCCTCTCCCTTCCCTCCCCAGCCTCACATAGAGAACACAGGCAAGACAGAGCAGATATATAGAGACGGCATATTTATAGCAAAACATTCTCACTCCAATGGACTTATCTTAGGGGATCATGAATATTTTACTTGAAAATGAAAGCCCCTAAAATTATATTATTCCTGAAAAGGCTAAAGAGTGAGGGAAAAAAAAACCAGTTGACAGTAATGGACAACTTTAATACTACAGAAATGTCCAGGAAGAAATCATTTGTTCCAATGAGATTCTCATTTTAATATCCGTATCAAATATCTCTTTGAGTGCCTCCTCACCAGGGGAGAAGAGAAAGGGATAGGAAATGTGCCTGCTATTTGCAGAGGTGCAAGAAAGCACGGATACATAGCAACAATAATAACTGCTAACGTGACTACCATCTTAATGCATTTTTTCATGATTATAAAGAAGAGAGAATGCAAAGCTTTAGGTGGAAATTTTAGAAAATAGAAATAGATGCATCATTTTTTCACGTATCTGCTCCCCAGTGTTAACTGCTTGCCAACATGTTTGTTGCGTTTCTTCTTTGTTTACGTTTTATCTCTGCAATACCTGTGATTTCTAAAATGCATTCTGTGGAACATGCATCTTAATGATCCCTCCATATAAAAGGGGCCCCATGAGCAGGAACACCTTCACGGAGACGTATAGTGTATTTTAATTATTGTAATATGCTGAAAATTAAATGTTCACTTTGTTTAGCCAGTGTTTCTCATTTATTTGAATTAGGACAACTTATGTAGGTTTACATAGGTTTGCCACATAGTGCTCATAAGCATCCACGTTAACAGCAAATGGTCTACACCAAGGTCAAAAAACATAAAGGGATGAGTAATACACACATAGGGATTTTTCAAGTGGTCTCTGCTGTAACTCTTCAGCTCTGCTATTTTGTACAAAATCAGCTTCAAAGACTGGAAAACAAATGCGCTGAAAAAAATACGCCCCTGACCCTGGTCCTACAAGCATAGAATTTCTAGTCTCTAAAAGAATTTCACTTCTGTTACCGCATTCAAGTGTCACATTGCGCCTGTGAGATAGGATAAGCACAGCGAGCTGCAATGCCGGGGGGAGGGAGGGGTGGGAATCTCAGGCAATGAGATGTCTAATGTCCACAATAAGTTACAGATGCACTTAGTTAGGTGGGATATGAATCTGATCTTTGCATGTAAGGTGGAGGGATACTGAAACCCAAGGAAAGCATAGAGATATGGTTGAAGAGCATGGTGATGGAGAAGAGACCGGTTCTAACACGGCAACAGTCAGGGCCAAGACCAAGCTGCTTCTAGCTTTGAAGAGGAAGGCAGTAAGAGATCCCAGAACTGCAGTGTGCATTGTGGCAAGTATTCTGAACCCTGAGTTCACGCGGCCATCTAATTTCTCCCTCTAGGAGACATCAGGTATGACGAGGCCATGGGTTACCCCATGGTGCAGCAGTGGCGTGTCAGGAGCAACCTCTACCGTGTGAAGCTGAGCACCATCACCCTCTCGGCAGGTGAGGACCACAGTCTGGCTGGCAGCCAAAGGACTTACGGTCACTCTACACATGGTCTCAAGGGCTCAGGGTGTCCCCAGCCTTCCTGGCCCTGATGATGCTGAAAGAATGGAGGAGCACCTAGGTAGGACAGCATACCAGGTGGTGGCATCAGTGCCTTGCAATAAGGACAATGGGGGCAGCAAGACACAGAAGGAGCATCCTAAAGGAAATGTCTGAGTAGGGTGAAGAAGGATCACAGAAAGAGAAGTAACAGTCACCTAAGCAATGTTGGCGCTCTGGAAGCGTTTCTGGCTTGTGACTGCAACTTCTCGGTTCTCCTACACAGCAATAGCAGGGAGCCTCACTCTTCACCCCCATGTACACATGCATCACCCGTTCTTGATCCACGTGAGCCCTGAGCTAGAGCAGGGAGGCTGTTTTGTGGGTTTTGAGATGGGGCATGTTCATCACCCTGCCCTTGCTTGACCTTCTGCCCAGCTCTCCCTGCCTGGGTTGCACACGCTAAGCTCTCTGGTGCCTCCTCCACTCTCCATTCTTCAGTGAGCAGTGCAGGGAAGTTCAGGCGTTGGAATAGCTCCAGTAGAGTCCTGACAAGTACTTGACTCATGTCTGAATCATGGCCAGTCTCCCTCTGACGGGAGAGCTGGGGACGGGCCGCGGAATCTGTCTATTCTGCTGATACCTTCAGAAACCGACAGAGAATCGGTATATTGTGTTGTGTGTGTGTTTGGCAGAAGAATAAGATAAATAAGTGGAAACCGAAGAATAAGGTATTGAATAAAGGTCTCTGAGGAGAGGAGACCTGGCCGGGGTTTTCTGTTCCGGTTCCGACAACACTGTCACCGGCTTATTGTCGGTGGGTCTCCTAATTATCTATTGAGTTCTTCTCTCTTTCATTCCTGTTTTTCAGTACCACTTTGTTCCTCAGAAAAATGGAGCTCTTTCATCCTGGGGCTGGGAGGACTTTACCCTCTGGGAAGTACAAACAGTGATTGTTGCTGACATCTGTCAAGCACGTTACAGTGTTTCATGTCTTGTGGCTTGCAGCAGCCCTACAAGGAAAGTAATAATTTAGCCTATCTGTATCATATAAAGGAACTGAAGGTCAGAAAGGTTAAGTAACCTACCCAAGGTCACATAGCTATTAAGCACCAGAGGAGAAGACAGAACAGGGATTTTGATTGCATTTTTGTCTGCCTGGCTAAAGAGCCACAGGGCAGCTCTGAGGGACTGTGATTTTTTACTTAACAGAAACCATCTCATTATTAATCCTGCTGTATTAATTACCCAGTTGCATAAGTTAACAGGTTGACAGAGAGAGAGTGTTCTAATCAAGCACCCTTTCTTAGAGTCCTATTTCTGTTTCCCACCACCCCCTCACCCTGCATTGTGAATGTAGCTGTGATGTTCCTGTTAGAACTACAAAGGTGTACCTGTTTTAATTAATCAGTAATGATGTTCCTGGAAGCTCCTTGTAAATCAAATGTTGGCAAATTGGAGCTCATTTTCAGTGTTGGAGGGGTGCTCGCTCTTTGATGTGGCATTGGCTGTTCTTATAATAACCGTGGCGGGTGGTTTGCTGTATTCCAGGATCTGGTGGTGTGCCTAACGGGGGGGGGTGGGCATAAGAAAGATGCATTTGTGGATTTAGAAAAGATAAAGAGGGCTTCTACCTTAAAGGTGGCAAGTCTTCAGAGTGTGAGCAGAGAGACTGGGTGCTCCACACAGGAATAGGTGAGTAAGGCTTCTAAGAAAGGGGTGACTTCATGAGATCTTTAAGCTTGGGTGTGTTCTGGGAAGGAGCAATTTCATGTATGGAAACAGTGCAGAGTACATAAAGGAAGGAGGACAGTGAATGCAAAGAAGGAAATGGGAGAAAACCCAGGCATTCCTGTAGGTCCAGGTACGATCATGAACCTGCATCCAGAGGCAGGCAGGAATACAAGAGCGCTTTTAAGGATTTGGGACATAGGGAACTTTAGAGGAAGACTAAATGGTCTCCAGGAGACCGAATGTGACAACAACCTGTTACATTTGTCTGGACTTCATTTTTAATGTCAAATCAAGTCTACCTCCAATATGTTTCAGGTACCCACCTGTTGATGAGATATATAGGGAGCAAATTCACAACAAATGCACCTATTCTAGAGGATTCAGCCTTTAAGGCAGATTAAGGGATTAAGGAGCTCTTGCATTTGCTTTTGTCTAAACATGCTAAGTTGGAAAATCAGAGCGGTGTGTTTTGGGGTATCATTACTCTGTCTGAAACCTTCCTAACAATTTTCCATACTGAAGCTGAGTTGGAGGCTGTAGAGAGGATTGAGTTAGTAGCTGAATGATGACGGAACCAGTCTCCCATTGTTGGAAGGCCCCGGAAGAACAGGAAGCAGATTGAAGCAGCAAGGGCAGCTCCTGAGACCCGGCTCTCTCTCTGAGATCCGGCTCTCTCTCTCTCTCTCTGAGACCCGGCTCTCTCTCTCTCTGAGACCCGGCTCTCTCTCTCTCTCTCTCTCTGAGACCCGGCTCTCTCTCTCTCTCTCTCTGAGACCCGGCTCTCTCTCTCTCTCTGAGACCCGGCTCTCTCTCTCTCTGAGACCCGGCCTTGTGCTAGGTGTGGCAGAGCACTGCAACAGCACAGTAGGCAGCAAGAAAGCTCCATGGCAACAGAGAGCAGTCCACTGTCTCGGGAAATAAGGGCAAAGGGGAAAAGGCAGGGGATGTAGCAAAATCTGAGCAGGTATGGAGTCTATACTCAGCTGGGACAAGTGTAGCTCTGGGACTCCAGCCAATGTATTCCAAGTAAAAATAGGAGTGTGTGCATCCAGCTCTTTCAGACAGAGGGCCAAGGTATGTTACTTATGGTCTTTCAGCCTCGGCTTCTCATCAGGTTCACGGGGGTGTGGTGGCCAACATTGCAGAGTGAAACCGTCTAGTGATCTGCCTTCTATGCATTAGCTGTTCAGTAAGTAGGTATTGGCTCTAACTTTCTGATTGTGACCTTAAAGTCACCATCACGTAGGCTGGCAAGTCTTTGTCTTCTGAAGAGTTCTACTCTGTTACAGTCTCCAGCAGTGAGAGGAAGCCTTTGCTGTAAGCATATAATGCTAGAGATGCCAGCCGGCTGCCATGGTGATGAGGGCGAAGGCCATGAGTTCTGTCTGGGAGGAGCCCTTACTGAGATATAATATTTTGGTCACCAACTTCGGAAGTCTGACCACCCATACATGCCCCTCTCCCTCCAGGCTTTACCAACGTCCTAAAGATCCTGACCAAAGAGAGCAGTCGGGATGAGCTGCTATCCTTCATCCAGCACTACGGCTCCCACTACATCGCAGAGGCCCTGTATGGCTCTGAGCTCACCTGCATCATCCACTTCCCCAGCAAGAAGGTCCAGCAGCAGCTCTGGCTCCAGTATCAGAAAGGTAAGCCTGGGGAGAGTTGGAGGCATGGCCAGGTGTCGTGCAGAGGAAGCAATGGAGCCTGAATGAGTCTAAATCCTATCTGTAAGTTGTGTAGGCTTTGGCAATTCCCAGATCTCTGAGCTTTACTTTATCATGGTCAGGGTGAAGAACCATGTTGTCTTAAGATTCTTTTATTCAGGTGTCTTAACTCTTTTCTTATACTGTAGGTTTTAAAACAAAAACAAACCATGTTTTCCCTCTTGAAAGAGTTGCCAGAGATAAAGGCAGAGAATGGAGTAGTGTCTCCATGATGCCTTCTCTTTAGGCTTCTTGGGAGAGGCCAGGAAGTCTCACTTGCTCCTCTAGTCCTGGGGACAGTTTCAAGTGTCCCCCAGAGAGAGGGTGTTGTCCACATGGAGGGTCACCACATTTTAAATCCCTGATTCTCAGCTGTTAACAGATTTTTAACTCCTTCAGCCTAAGGTGGTCTAGAGCAGAAAACTAGTCTCTGCCACTGATGTTGGGAAGTTATTCGCATCTGTCCTCAGCGTTCCCCTCCTGTGAAGTGTGTACTGCAATAACTATTCCTATTTACCTACCGCGTGTAAAGGGGGAGGTGACTTACACTCCGGCACTTTACAAAAGTGTAAACAGCAGATGTATGTAGCGGTATATTTTACTTTTTCATATGTATGTGTGTGGTACATGTGTGTTCTCATGAGTGTATATGTGTACATGTGGATGTGTAAATGTGTATTCATGTGTGAATGCCGGAGATTGACACCAGGAGTTTTCCTCAGTCACCCTCTACCTTACCCATTGAGACAGCATCTCTCACTTGAACCTGACTTCACTTACCCAGCTAATCTAGCTAGCCAAGTTACTTGGGCACCTCCACCCTCCAGGTGCTGGATTATAAGCAGCCTGCTGTTCCTGCCCAGTATTTATATGGGTGCTAAGAATCCAAAAACCGGTCTTCAGGCTTTGTTACTGTACAACAAGCTCTTTACCACTAAGACATCTCCCTACAGTATACACATGTATATTCCTTCCTTGCTTGCTACCTTTCCTTCCTTCCTTTTTTCTTTCATTTTCCAGATATATTAAGTGCTTTCTGTTATAGTTAATACCACTTATTTTTAGAAAAGGTGAGGACTGATAAAACAAACCTGCTTACACCTTCCCCACAGGACCTAACCACCCTAGCTCCAGCATCCCTGTAAGTCATAACTATAAACCCAAGAACAACAGCCCTTGGAGTTCTCATTGAACTCGGCTCTTCATTTTGCCATTGGGGAAATTAAAATTCCATGGGAGAAGGAATTCTGTGCCAAGTCACACAGCTCTGTGTGCCAGGGCCAAGGCGAAGCTAAGCTGCTTCAAGCCATCTTTCAGTGCCTGCCAGCTGCGGACTGTCTGGTGAGGCGGGACCCCTGAATATACCCTGGCCACTTGGCCGTATCTACAGCCTTTCGTTCTGCCTCTCAGGGTTTTGCATCCCCAGCTGTGTTTCACCCCTGCCTGCTTCCTATGTGCAACTGAGTGGGGCCTGGTGGTTTATAGGCTCAGAGGACATAATTGAGTTGTCAGGGAATAGCTCGGTTTTATGGCTGTGACAATGACAGTCTTTAAGGAAGTGCATTAAATCAATAGAAGTCTCATTGCACCACCCTATAAATAATGTGACACATCATTAAGCAGGGCAATAAGCTTCAGGACTTTGAAGTAATACAATTAGGTTATGTTTATAAAAACTCTCTCTTGCTGTGGCCACTGAACTAATTTGCTTCGTACCACACTCAAGGCCTGGGACACTACTGTGCTGCTAAATGTCATCCCATCTCCATCCTTGGTTGCTTTCAGGGCCTAGACTTCCTTGTTGAAGAACGTCACATTTCTTGTAATAGAATCGGAATCTGTTACAGGAAAGATAGGAGACGCAGGAGGGTGGAAAACAGCTGAAACCTCACCTGGAGTCCCCACCCCACTTCAAGGACTGAGTGACTTGGTGTTGTAGCTTTCCATCTCTGGGCTTCCATTCTGCAGATACTGTCATTCCTTTTATGGTCTGTGTTTGCTCCAAGAAGAACATACAGATGCTTGGACGCTAACTGTTTTCTGTTTCTCTATCTCTACCTGCAACAGCACATCAGATGTCCTGATTTATTTTATGTTTTGATAATGGAGAATGCTACAAAGGATTGGGAGGTTAAAAAAAAAAGAAAAAAGACTCTGGAAACCCTTTAGATTCAGAGAAAATTGATATCATTTCTCTTCCAAGCTATCAGTAATATAACATCAACCTCTTCTAAACACTGGGGCCCAGGCCAGTTAAGTTTTGCTTTGTGGCAGATAATTGGGAGCAGAACTTGTGGGAAGAGGAGCTTGGGCAGCCATGAAATGGGCACATCTGGAGTCGTTCCTCTTTTTATATACCAGTTGCCTAGTAGCTTCCAAGTTTTCAGATTCCTCATGCTTAACGAGAGATAGTAATTCCCTCTCTCAAAACCTTTAAGGGAATGAGATGAAATAATGCAGGTAAAATTCCAAAACTTAGTGGGTACATGAAAAACAGTAGCTTGAAATAAAATGAAAATTATAAACATCAGCTAAAGATTCTAGACTGGCCCCAACCTTTCCTAATGTGCAACCTCAATCTCTGTTTTGGCCTATCAACTACCTGTGCCAATGGAAGAGGGCAACATTTGTGAATGTCTTTTCAATTCAGCAGGAGTGTGTACCTTCTTCTGGACTAGAAAGACCATGCCAGGGAAAAGATCAAATAGGACCTGAAAAACAACCATGACATTGGATGGATGACCACCCTCTTATCCTACCATCTTCCCCAGGAAGCAAAGAAGGAATGAGTATACACGCCTCCTTTATGGAAGGGAGAAGAGAAAGTGGGCTCTCTGACCCACATAGTCATCAGTGAAGACATTGGGGACAGAATCCCAACCTGGGCCTAGAGCTGCTTTCCCTATAGTCAGTATCTCCAGCCATCAGAAGTAAATGTCCTGGCCCTGTCCAGGCCTATAGATCTTGTATGCTAGTTCTTCCCAAATGAAGAGTGACGCTGGGAGAAGAATTCAGCGTAGTTAGCAGTGACTCCTGTAGAAACAAAAAGGGACTTGAGATTTTTCTTCCCTGTAATAGAGGAAATGTAAAAGCCAGAACAATACCCCCTGGACATTCCAAAGATGAGTGGAAAGATACAGCCAGGTAGGAAGAGTTTATCAATCACCAGATGAGAACTTTGGCTTCTGCCAGGCTGAAGGATCCTGGAGGACTAAGCAGGTCAATAATGTGGTATCTGAACTAACACTGATCCAGGAAAAGTGGGCCCTAAATGCAAGTAAGCATCTGAAGTCATCCCTGGAAGCTAGGAATCCTAGGCAAGGTTAGCATGCACATTGTTCAGCCTGCCAGGTTCCTATAACCATCACCTGTGCTCTCTTGTCTTTCTCCAAGTCCACATGACATTCAGAGTGTCCTATGTCTGAATTATACTTGCAAAACATGTTTCTGTATTCCTCCCTTCCCCTCAGAGGGGCTTTATTTCATTGCTTGCCTTGATATCTGCATTCTCTACTTATCTGTGACATTGATATTGAGTCTTCAGTTATGATTGTATGTTTATAAATTCATTCATGAGTAATATCTTTCATTTGGGAATAAAATAAAGTTTCATAGTCACCTGGGCCCTCGTTAAAATCACAGGCATACATTGGGCAACCTGTGTGATCCTAGACAAATTGATTCACTCTCTGAGACAGTTTCCACATTTGCAAGCAGAGTGGTTATATCATCTGTATAAGAAAATAAATCAGTGGATAGATGTGTCTAGTACTGAGCTGGAACAACTAATTTTTATCCTCATCCCTCTGTCTCCTGTACCCATTTAGATCACAGTGTTTCCAGGTGTGTATTTAGAGGCATGAACTGGAGTGTAGAGGAGATGTAATTGAGACTATGCTACTATCACTTGTCAGTTGATACAGTTGATACAGGATCAGGAATGGTTCAGATTGGTCTAGGGTGGGGAGTGCCCCAGTGAGTTCAGCTACAATGTTAGAACCAGAGGATGGGGCTGTAGAGGTGAACTAGAGAGGAATCAACCAGGGTTTGTGACACTTTCTATTATGTTCTAGACTGTGGTAGATACATAAATTCCCAGTCTCATGGGTTAGTTTATGGTTGTCTTTTATATTGTGCAGAAAGTGACTTTATAGTGGATGGATATTAATATGTGAAATGATTGTTCAACCTCTGTGAATGAACAGAGTGCAGGAAAAAAAAGCAGGAAGAAAAAAGGAGAGCCCAAATCTAAGGAAGTAGAGAAAATCTGGAAGCAAACCATGATCAGGCCTCTTCCGAGCTTAAGGCCTCCCAGGCCTTTATCCCCTCTGCAATGACAATCTGTCCACATCCCCAGTTTTGAAATCTCATGCATCTGTGGTGTAGAGAGATATCCCTACAGATAAATACCCTTATTAAAGTTGTTTTATCTCTACTATAATTTTCCAGGCCAATTCCAGGGAATGCATTTCCATCTGAATTACCATGCACTTCTGAATGTCAACTGGAATATTCCTGGGCTAATTTTTGGAAAAGTCTTTGGCTGTTTGAAAGGCAGACCCCAGACATCAGGCTGTGGGGCGGAGATTACGAAGCTGTAGTCAAATGTCACTTCCTCTTGTGCAGACAGTTGTGGCTAAGGGCTGTTGTAAGCTAGAGAACTCTCCAGAGCTCTCTGTTTCCCAAGGGATCTTGCTTCAAAGACATCCAGGAGACATGAAAGGGCTTGTTCTGGGGATCTGAGACCTCAGGGTGCCAGATGACTTCCCCAGTGATTTCATAGCCTGGGGCCATGATTTCCCTTCTCATCCTGCTTGACCTTTCAGTAGCATTTGACAGTCTGCTGCCTCCAGCTTTGTCACTCTCTTATACATCCCCAGGATAATTGACCAGATGGCTAAGCTCCAATGGCTCCATCAGTTTGACACATAAACATAACCATC